TCCAGTCTCTTTTTAAAGCCACCCAAGGTCCTAGCCTCTATCACCCTACTCAGAAGATTGTTCCACGCATCCACAACTGTTCGAAAACCAGTACTTACCTATGTCGTTTCTAAATCTAAATTTACCCAACTTAAATCCGTTATTCCTGGTTCTTACTTGATTAGACATCCTCAGTACTCTATTAATATCACCCTTGTTTATGCCCGTCATCCACTTATACACTTCGATGATATCTCCCCCCATTCTACATCTCTCCAGAGAGTGAAGATTCAAGGCTCTAAGTCTATCTTCATACAGGAGGTTCCTTGTACAGTAAATCATTTTAGTCATTCTTCTCTGTATGTTCTCCAATGAATCTATATCCATCCTGTAGTCAGGAGACCAAAACTGAGCAGCATAATCCAAATGAGGCCTCACTAGTGATGTATAGAGCTGTAAAATAAGTTTTGGACTTCTGTTACTTATACTTCTTGAAATAAATCCTAGTAATCTGTTTGCCTTATTGCACACACTTAGGCACTTCTTTTTCACATTCTGTATGATCAAGCTCAACTTCACCTAGTTTATAACTTCGAGGGTTATTTTCATTACCAAGAACTAGGACTTTACACTTGTCCACTTTGAACTTCATCTGGCACTTTTCAGACCAAGACATTAATTTGCCGAAATCCTCTTGGAGATCACTGTATCTTCCTCAGAATGAATCATATGGCCTATTTTTGTATCATCAGCAGATCTGCTTATGTCACTTGTAATTCCTTCATCTAGGTCATTAATGTAAATTATGAACAATGGGCCTGAAACTGATCCTTGTGGAATGCCACTAGTGACTAATCCCCCATTCAAATTTGACCCCATTAATTTAAACTGCTTTCTATTGGTAAGCCATGCCTCTATCCATGCTAGAACTTTACCTCCTATACCATGAGCTGCCACTTTTTTGAGGTACTCTATCAGAGGCTTTACTGAAATCCAAATAAACAATACCATATTCTTTATTACTGTCTACTGCCTCAAATGTTTTACTGAAGAATGTCAGTAAATTTGTCAGGCAGGAATGACCTCTCGTGAACCCATTCTGAGATTCATTAATCAAATTATACTCTTCAAGGTGACTAATCCCATTTAATTTATATAATTGTATAATTCTTTGACCTCTCAGTTTTTGTAATGAGACAGAAAATGAGAAATTTAGTTGAAGTGATTACCTCAATGTACTTTATAGTATATAAAATTTACTTAGATAAATGTTATTTTTACAACTGATAACATGGTTATATTTTAATCTGGCATTTCATAGGGTTATAATTTAGTGAAGAAATGATGCAGGTAGCAGAAGAAGCTTATTAGGACATCGTTTTGCTTTTAGTTTTGTTTTAATATGGCACATCATTCTAGGTACCATTTGTGTGTTGAGTGCATTCCCTTTCATCTTCCTTGGGTGTCTTGGGTGTGGCTCCTCTGATGAATGGGCTCAGGTAATCTACTACACCCCATTTGTCATAATCTTCCAGTTTGGCTGGGCAGCTACACAAATCAGTCACCTAGCCCTTATACCATCTATTACTCAAGATCCACATGACCGCACAGACCTCGTTGCCATTAGGTACATGTATATTTGATGCATTTTTGGCTTGTTTGTAATTGTTTTTAAAATGTAAACAACTTTTAGCTTTGAGAATATAAATTATTTAGTAAATATCACAAGTAAATGAAAGCAATAATAATTTGCTAGTGTAATATCACTCCTAATGTTAAGTGGATAAGTGCCATGAATAAGATTATTTTGCAGTGAGATTGATGACCAGTAAGAAAGTAATACTTTCTCTTGACTCCCTGTTTAAATGACCAGTAGGATAATCCTAAAAGCAATGTATTGATCATCTCTTTAATTAACACCTACCTCTTCAGACTGCCAGTGGAGTATTATAGCTTTGGTTGACCCGAGACCTAAATTCTATAAGGTCTGAGTTGTACAGTACGTTCATATGAAAAGAGATTTACAAGAAAGTTCCTAACCTAACTTGTTTTGTAGTTGTCCTTATCTATTTGCATTACAGTAAAATCCCGTAATTTGCATTCCTCGTACTTGCTTTTTTCCTTGGTCCCCATAGTCCTTTTGCTCAATGCACAACCTTTATTATAGGTTTCTGTTGTCACATAATTTCCAAAAACCTAACTCTTTCCAGTTACGGGATTCAGGTTATACATTAGTGATTGGAGTATAGGTACTGTATCTTCAAGACTACTTGAGGATTTTGGTGATTTTTTTAAATACACTAAAATGATGTCAGCTGCTCTCCGCTAATTTTAATTTAACAGTGCTCAGTCATTCATGGAAACATATACAAGGCTTTTTGTTCTTCAAAAGTTTTGTGAAATAACCTGGCCTTCTTACACAAAATCTGCCTAGAGAAAAGGCATACTTTCACTGTCATTTACAAAACCATTCATACAAGACAGTCACAATGAAATGGGAATTTCACCATTTTGTGAAAGTACTGTAGTATTCCACTTAGCACTTGGTGGCAGCTGTGCTACCTTATGGCTCCTTTAAGTACGAGGCATGTAATGCTTTTTTTTTTCCAGCCACTGGCAATGTAGCATCTCATTTTGCATTTGTCTAAGACTTATCTTGAAAAACATTTTTCCCCTCCTTCCTACTAATCTTTAGTTTTGCCTCATTTACCATACAAACTCATAAAACTACCAACATCTTGCTACTTTGTTCATATATGCAGCACTTGCCACATCCTTTCTCAGTTCACTCTATCACACACATTTTCCAAATGTATAAATGCACCAGACATCGTTCCTTATCCAAATACAATAACGCTCACTTGTGTGCTGCAGTGAAAACATTTAATCCACACATCCCCCTTTCCTTTCTCAATGCACTCTTTGTTATTAAGAAATTATATTTTATTGCTGTCTAGTCTCAAATACAGTTAGTTCTGTTATACAAAGGTATACTGTACTTGCTCTTCCCAGTATAGTGTAGGTATTTGTATATTTTTTTTTTTCAACAAGTCGGCCATCTCCCACCAAGGCAGGGTGACCCAAAAAGAAAGAAAATCCCCAAAAAGAAAATACTTTCATCATCATTCAACACTTTCACCTCACTCGCACATAATCACTGTTTTTGCAGAGGTGTTCAGAACACAACAGTTTATATGTATAAAGTGTCTTTTTAATTCAATAATGATTTCTGCACTGGTAGTGTTTCCATATAAATTGTATGGGCTCTTTCTGGATGGTACAGTACAATATTAAATTTTCAATGTATTTCACTACTCTGCATCACTGTGAACAGTAGTTGTATGTGAATTATAACAGCTAAAAGAAATATATTGTTACTTGGATATGAAACTTAATTGGCAAGCCACTGTTATTGGTAATTTGAGAAGCATATTGTAAATAGTGCAGGTTAAAAAGATATGATAAATAGAAAAGATAGGTGGAAAAAATGTCTTCTCAAATGAGGTGGCAAGGTACTGTAGTTTTAGAACCAATGAAAACTATTTTTTTTTTTAAGGTATGGATTTACTGTGATGGCCAACATAACAGTTTACCTTGTGACTTGGCTCGTATTGGGAATAGATGCTACCAGTGCTGAGACTGGTCTTGGTCCTGAAGATGGCATCAAGTTCAGGGTAGGTTAACCCTTTGTTTGAAGTACTGTGGTGCTATGCTTTTACTTTTGGATGTGTTTGACTGGAGATGAAAATAAATCATTGACTGAGTTCATTTTTATGTAGACAGACTAGTTGTGGTGCAAATTTTTAACTACTAATGCATTATAGTGAAGTACCATAACTCCAGACTTTCTGAACTTTGGTCACTCCTGAAATCCATATGGTCTTATTGATGACATTTTGCCTATACGTACTGTGGGCCTTATCATTTCACAAACAAATCCGGTAAGGATGGATGAGCAAATGAGTACTGATGAGAGGAGGAACAGGTGGGGTGTGCATCAGATCACAGTGATTCCCAAACATATTAGAAGTTTTCAGATGAGGTTCAAGAAAATTGTAGAAACTGTTGTCCTATTTGAAGTTGTTGGAGATCCAGATGAGTGCAGATTAAAGACATCATATTCTTTGGGTGTCATCCTTGGCAATAAATAGTGCACTACTAATTGACAAGGAGAATGACATCCAGATTAGATGCCTTGAATCTGCACTCATCAGTATCTCCAACAACTTAAAAACAATGGTTTCAACCATTTAGTAGAAATTTTTTAGGACATTTTAGAATTAACATGACTTGATCTTCACTTCACTGGTACTTATTGTTCATCCCAGGTTACCAGATTTTTTTGTTTGACTTTATAAAACACTGAATTGGCAAAATGTCATCGATAAAGGTTCCATATAACTGCACTTACATCTCTTTTTCATCGTGTTGGTATTTCATACCTATGTTCTTATGTTTTTTACATGTGTTAACCCCTTAACTGTCCAAACGTAGATCTATGTTCTTACCGCTAGCACTCCAAACGTAGATCTACATTTTTTTTTTTCCTGCCTCCAAATTTGGCACGATTGGCCTGAGATGCATGGTCACATAGAATGGTCTTAACCCTCTGTGTAAGCAGTATTAAAAAATCTGGGACCACTTAGTACCTTGTGGGAGCACCAGTTCAACTGAGCCAGTACCTTGTGGGAGCACCAGTTCAACTGAGCGCCAGTTAGAGCAAACACCAAGGATTCACTGATGTCATGTCGTATTAACACTCCCTCTTTAAGAGGGAAGTGATGTTGACCCCAAGTTTAGTGGCTTTGAAGTGGATGTGGCCACAAGTGGTCACGGAAATATAAAAAATCTTGATAATAGCCTATGTGCAATATTTGTGCAACACCCTCTCAATTTTGGTAGCACTGGTAGTGTCATCCTGCCAGAATGTCTTATAACCTATGCCCTCAGTAAAAAGAAAATTCTGGAATGTGTAATACATGTTCAGCAGGCTGGCTGATTGGCTGTATCTATCTGTGTCTATCTCTTTCTCTCTATCTCTGTCTCTATCACACAGGAACACATACATAAATACAATTATGCATGGTGTAAATTACCAAGGTTAACCCCAAAATCCAGTGGACCCTCGGTTATCGGCCGTAATCTGCTCCAGAAGCTCGGCCTAAGACCGAAATGGCCAAAAACCGAAATAATACTGTATTTCCCATAAGAATTAATGGAAATACAATTAATCCGTTCTAGACAAAAATGTACACAAAAAATAATTTTTTAACAATTATTTAAGTATTACATACCTTTATTGAAGGCTAATGCTGGCTTCTGGAAGATAGGGAGGAGGAAAGAGGGAGGAGTTAGAAGGGAAATCCCCCTCCATAAAGACTTTAGGTAGCAAAGCCTTCTCTGGGGTTACTTCCCTTCTTTGTCTTTTAATGCCACTAGGACCAGCTTCTAGAGTCACTGGACCCCTGTCGCACAACAAATCTGTCCATAGAGGTCTGTTTCTGGCGTCTCTTTAAGATTTCCCTGAAGTGGGACAGGGTTTTGTCACTGAACATGTTGCAGATATGGCATGTTTCAGCTTGGTTAGGGTGGTGTTTCTCCACAAAAGCTTGCACCCTAGTTCACATTGCACACACCTCTTTAATCTCTGAAGAAGGCACCTCCTTCACTCTCTCTTCCTCCTCTGAAGCAAGTTCCTCAGCTATTGCTGTTCGAGTGAAGTTCTGCAGCTCTTCAGTGTTAGCTCTTCCCTGTGGTCGTCCACCAACTCTTCCACATCCTCGCACTCACCTCCAACCCCAGGGACTTCCCCGGTGCCACAATAGAGTCTGTAGGGTCGGCAGGGTCAGGGTCAGCTTCAAACCCTTCAAAATCCCTCTCTTGGACACAACCTGGCCGCAATTTTCTCCAAGCAGAGTTCAAAGTCCTGGAAGTCACTCTCTCTCCCAAGCACTTTTGAAACACTGCTATTGTGTAGAGTTTTTTGAAGTTAGAAATGACCTGCTGGTCCATGGGCTGGAGGAGAGGAGTGGTGTTAGGAGGCAAGGACTTCACTGTGATGAAATTGAAGTCCCTAAACACTTGGTCTTCCAAGTCTGGAGGATGTGCAGGCAATTTCTTTTCCAGGAGGTATTTTTTTCACACTTGGGCCAGACATATCATTCACCCACTCTCTGAAAATTTGCTTTGTAACACCATGCCTTTTGATTAGCTTTCCACATCACACACAGTCTATTCTTGACGACATTGCTTTTCTTGAACACTCTGGGATTTTCTTCACTCTAAAGTCTCCACTAGCACTAACACACTAGCACTAGTACACTAGCATTAGCTTCTCTTTCATAGGCTGTGTCCTGGCAGTGCCTTTTCCTCCTGGCATGATGTAGATCCTGTTGGGCATTTTCTTCCAAACAGGCCTGTTTTGTCACAATTGAACACTTGTTGGGGTTCGAATCCTCCAGCCTATTACATAATCTTTGAACTCCCGTACGTACTTTTCAGTCGCTTTTTTGTCAGAACTTGCAGCCTCTCCATGCCTTACAACAGTGTGTATACCACTACGCTTCTTAAATACCTCAAACCACCCTTTGCTGGCTCTAAATTCACTTGTTCCAGGAGTTTTCTGTAGAAGATCCTCATGTAACTGCCTGCCTTCTCACAAATAACAGATTCCACAACACTGTCTCCTACTAATTATTTTTCCTTAATCCACAATAACAACAACTCTTCCATCTCTTCCATTATTGGTGACCTTTGTTTCGTTATAAAAGTTACTCCTTTCGCAACATTAGAATCCTTGATTTGTTCTTTCTTTGCCAGGATGGATGTAATGGTAGATTAGTTTTTCCTGTATATCCTGGCAAGTTCCAGCACCTGCATACCCCTCTCATATTTATCAACCACTTCACGATTAAATTCCATGGTGTTTCTAACTTTCTTTACCATAGGAACATTACTAGGAACTTTCTTTGGAGCCATGGTTACTTATTTCACAGTTGCACTGTAAAAAACCCTCAAAAAACAATGGAAAACAAGCGAAATGTTTGGAAGTATGAGCAGAAGCTTCCTTACACACCGAGAGACAGCCAGACTGACGCGCAAGTGGCCCCAGCCGGTGGATGGATGCGTCCAAAACGGCCAATCACCGAAATAACGGCTGATAGCCGGGAGCCGAAAAACCGGCCAATGACCGAGTTGGAGGATAATGGGAACAGCCAATATCCGAGGGTTCAATGTACTGTGCTTGGCTGGTCATCTGGCTGTCTGGCTGATTGGCAGTCTCAATCTCCATCTGGCTGTATCTATCTCTGTCTGTCTCTTTCTCTGTACCTCTGTCTCTATCTCATAGGAACTCATATGTAAATACAATCATACATAGTGTAAATTACCAAGGATAACCCAATAAATCCAGACATAGTGCTATACTGTGCTTGTAAATATCATGCATAATAATTATGACTGGCAACTGCAGAATCATTTGATAGAAATGATTTTGATTGGTTTCATGACCAGGAGTAGCTTGAAATTGAGCTCAAAGTGGCAGAAATATTTGATTTTTTTCTGATATTCCTGAGGATGGGTAAGCCCCCCTACACCCCTAACCCCAGTCTGAGTTTTTAATAGGTCTGATTCAGTTGTTGGGACACTGTAAACCATGACCAATCGTTCCTGGTTTATTTATTTATTTATTTAGAAATTTTAGCATACAAACAGAGGTACAAAAAATGCAGGCAAGAGCAGCATGCCAAAGCCACTTATATGCATAGCATTACGGCTGGCTTAAAATTAACTTAAGATTAACTAAGCAATGATGAAATCAGTGATAAGACATTATTGTAAACAGATAACTATAAAATACAAATGAGTATTACAAAGACAGGTCCTATGGTTGCATGCATTGCTGTTCATTCAGTAGAATGGAGTATTCTGTTAGGTAGTGTATTTAAAAAATAACAAAGTTAGGTTTAACATTTGTGTGATATAAATTGTGAGTAACATTTAGGATATACAATTTTATATGGTTCAGTTATTCAGTATTTATTTGGTTTTGAGTGAGTAAGTGAACTTTGAGAAGAGACTTGAATTTATAAACAGGTGGTGTTTCTTTATATTTACAGGTAATGAATTCCAGATTTTAGGGCCTTTTATGTGCATTGAGTTTTTGCATAGCGTGAGATGGACACGAGGAACATCAAAGAGTGATCTGTGCCTTGTATTATGGTCATGTGTTCTGTTGAGGTTGGCAAGGAGATGTTTGAGGGAGGGTTAATATCAGAGTTAAGTGTTCTATGTATGTAATAAGTGCAATAATAAGTATGGATGTTTTGTATGGTGAGTAGGTTGAGTGTTTTGAATATTGGTGGAGTGTGCTGCCTGTAGTGAGAATTTGTTATCATTCTAACTGCAGCCTTTTGTTGGGTAATTAGTGGTCTGAGATGGTTTAGTTGTTGTTGAGCCCCATGCACAAATTCCATAGGTGAGATAGGGTAAATAAGAGAGTGATAAAGGGCCAGAGGCTGACTGTGGAACATAATACCGTATCTTCGATAGTATGCCTACAGTCTTGAAATTTTCTTAGAAATTTGTTGTATATGTGTATGAAATTTGAGTCTATTATCGAGGTGGATTCCTAAGAATTTTCCCTCTGTTAGCTTTGTGATAGGTGATCCGTTTATCGTTATGTTAAGAGGTACATCTGTAGCTCTGCTACCAAACTGAATGAAGTAGGTTTGTCAATGTTTAGTGTAAGTTTGTTAGTCCTCATCCAGGTAGATATTTTCTGTAATTCGGTGTTTACAGTATTGGCTAGCGTGACTGGGCTCGGGTGAGAGAAGACGTATGTGGTGTCATCTGCAAAAAGTGTGGGTTTGAGTAATTGCGAAGCATTTGGTAGGTCATTTATGTATAGGAGAAAGAGAAGAGGCCAAGGACACTTCCCTGTGGGACACCAACTGTAATTGGTTGTGCGGAAGAGCTTGCCCCATTTGCGTACACATATTGGCTTCTGTTGCTGAGGTAAGACTTGAGGTAGTTGAGGGAGTGCCCTCTAATACCATAGTGTGACAATTTTACATGGAGCAAGTCATGGTCAACTGTATCAAAAGCTTTACGTAAGTCAATGAAGATCCCCAGTGGGACTTCTTTTTTCTCTATTGCAGTGTAATATATGTTCTAGCATGTGTATAATAGCATCATTATATTTTTATTAGGCCTGAATCCAAATTGGCAGGGGTTGAGAATGTTATGGGAGATGAGGTAGGAGTGGATTCGTTTATGAATTAATTTTTCAAAGATTTTTGAGAGAGGGGTAAATTGGATATTGGCCTATAGTTATTCAACTCTGTTTGGTCTCCACCTTTTTGGATCGGGGTGACCCTTGCTGTTTGAGAACTGTAGGGAAGGTGGAGGATTCAGTGGATTTGTTAAAGAGTGTTGCAATGATGGTGATAGTACTTGTGACGCTTTTTTGTATATAAAGGGTGGTAAGGTATTTAAATCTCCTGCCTTGTTTTTCAGTGCGTTGATAATAAGGGAGACTTCGTATGGGTTAGTCGGAGCTAGGAACAGTGTGTTCGGGTAGTTGCCAGTGAGGTAGTCATTTGGTGGGGTATCTGAGCTTGGGATATTATTGGCAAGGTTTTGACCTATAGTGGAGAAGAAATCATTGAGTCTGTTTGCTGTTTCTGTTGGTGGGAGTTGGGGTTCATCTGATTTTGCTAATTTTATTTCGCTGTGTCGTGATATCTTTTTGTTCCAGAATTTCTGATAGGGTCTTCCAGGTCTTTTTTATATCACCTCGTAAGTTGGATAATCTGTTCTCATAATACAATTTTTTTGCCCTTCTTATCAGGCTGGTTAGGATTGACGCGTAACGTTTTGTTTGGTCTCTGGTTATGTGACCCATTCTGTACTGTTTTTCATATTGGTGTTTTGTATTTATGGATTTGAGAATGCTGGGTGTTAGCCAGGGACTGTTCAGTCTCTTAGCTGTCATCTGTTTAGTTTTTTTAGGGCAGTGCTTGTTATAGAGGTATTGGGTCTTTTTTAGAAAATTATTAAAACATTCGTCAATATTTGTATAGATTTCTAGCTCAGTGTGCCAGTCAATGTTTGTTACTGCTGTTGTGAATGTTATTAATGGCTGCCTCATTGTGAATCCGAAGGTGACTTTAGTAGTGTCTTGGGTATTTACCAAGAGTTGTTATGAGGAAAGTAGGGTAGTGGTCTGTGGTATTATCTGTAATTATGCCTGATTTTAAAGGGGATATGGTGTTGGTCCAGATGTGGTCAAGTAGGGAAACACTAGTCTCTGTAACTCTTGTAGGTTTGTTACTGTTGGTAGCAACATGCAGTTACTCATTGTGTTTGTGAATTCAGTAACGTGTGGGTCCTGGTCTTGCAGGAGATTTATATTGAAGTCACCTGAGAGTAGTAATGATCTTTGTTCATGTGTTCATCAGTTATCATACTTCCTAGGTTTTGACTAAATTGGCTAATGTTTGATTGTGGAATTCTGTAGATGTTTATCACTGTGAGAGGTTTTTGTAGGTATTTGGATTGAATTTAGCTATTATATATTCCCCATGTTCATCCCTTGTGCAAGTATTAGTGATACAGTCTAGTTGGTCTGAGTAGTATATAGCTGTGCCACCCCCTTGTTGGTCTGGCCTACAGTTGTGTATGGCTGTGTAACCAGGAATGGCATAGACATCTGTAGTATCAGGCTTTAGCCAGGTTTCAGTTAGTGTAATAATGGACATATCGGCATGCAAGGAATTTAGTAATGCTAGGAGGTCATCATAATGCTTGTTTATTATCAGAAAAGTAGAATAAATCTTCCATTTTTGTGTGATTAAAAATTCAAAGTAGAAGGCAGGTGTTATAAATAGGAGAGGCCTAGGGACATGGTTAATGAGCAGAGATGTTTCAGTACCAGGAATGTTAACTTTCTGATTTTTTAATTAGTATTTTTTTTATTTTTGTGTAAAATTAGCAAAATTACTGACCTCTCTGTACTTTATAAAATAGTTGAATGAGCGGTTTCTTGAGCCTATTCGATAGAACAGAAGGCATACTACCAAAATAGCTAAGAATTTGGTCAACTGGAGCAGAAGAATTGACAAAAAATTAGGACTCAAAGTGAGCGAAATTGCCAATGTATAAATTGTGCTGAGGCTACTAACTGCATCTGCACAATTCCTTAAATTTCCATCAAATTTTGTACTTTTGGTGTCATTACCTTCAGAAAAAGAGCAATATTAATTTCAGGGGTCTGGACAGTGAAATATACCTTCTATTTATTCATAATGTCATAAATATATTTGCAATTTATGAAAAAATCATTGTGTGCTTTTTCTACATTTTCTTTCAGGAACTACCAGCACTGTTCTGTTTATGTCCATCCACTAACATGTTCTGGTACAGTAAATGTCTACTGAAAAACTTGTGTAGATGGCATAGCTGATTTGTCACCTAGTACAGTACCTCATGTATTTGTTATATGTACTATTTGACTGTCCTTATGTATTTGTTACTTAGAGCCTCATGCATTTATCACTTATATATTAGTTACATAGTCCCTCATATATTTGTTACCTTGTCACTTGTGTATGTTACCTAGTCATTATGTATGTGTCACGTTGTCATTCAGATATCTGTCATTGTCCTTTGTACATTTACCAGTGTTTTATATTATGTTTCTTCCAAATGAACTATTTCATATTCATTTTTTACTTTGTAATTATAAATTTCTTTATTGCAGTCTGAAAGAATATATTGATAATAAACACATTGTGGCATTTTCTTTTCAGTATATTGTTATGGCTGTGCTGGCTATTGGCATAATATTTGTCAGCGTGTTCCATGCACTGGTCAAAGAAGACAACGTTCCTCAGTATAGCAGAATCTTACCTGATACCGAAGTGACTTGTGAAGACGAGAGCAATCACACAAATCACCTGAGCTCCTCTCAGCAGAACAGCGTGTCTCATTGTGCCCCAGTCCACTGCCGCATGACTGCCATTGACTGGCTCCAAAACATGCAGGTAATATTTTAATGCAACAACTAGTATAAATGTTTACATGACTCACGAAATCGTAATGACACGATTGCAAACAAACCATACCACGGGCGGGGATAGAACCCGCTGGATTCTATCCCCGCCCGTGGTATGGTTAGTATAAATGTTTGTTGTGAAATACATTGCTAGGAAACTCATTCACCATGATTCATTCTTTGGGTCACCCTACCTTGGTAGAAGATGGCTGGCGTGGTAAAAGGAACTTATTGTGTTATGAGAGTTCAGAGGAGGGTAGTTACTCATAAAGCTACTCTTTCATCTTTGATTAGGTTAGATTCAATGACATAATTATTATATTTATGGTAAGGGTCATACAGCACCTAGAAAATGGGTGTGGGGGTAATTGTATTTATTCAGAGAAGATAGAGGTAGCTCCACTTTTTTGAATTACAAACCCTTCAATAGCATTAGGACCCCCTTTCTTCTCTTGAGGTGTCTATGACATAACATAGCATGGGAAGTGGGCAGCAAAATGCTTACTGTAGCACACTTAGCTAAAGACAGAGCTTAGAACTTTTCCATCCCAATAATTAATAGCTCAGGCACAGGCCTTTTGATATGATTGTCTTGGACAATTATGTGCTATTAATAGCACTCTTCACTTTTAGTGATGATTAACCCTTTGTGTCACGACCCCTGCTCTCAGGGTCGAAGAATTTAAAAAAAAAAATGAAAAAATATCATGAGATGATAGAGAATATTTTTCCAAAGGTAATGAAACCAAACTACAAAATTTGATAGGGAACTTACAGAATTACACTCTTGAAATTAGCAGTCTCAGTGATATTTTTTTACATGAAATATACATTTCCCTACACAGAAAACAATGAGACATGCAGAATAAAACAATACTAAAATGACACTTACTTTTATTGAAGACTTATTGATGAGTGATGAGATGGGAGGAGGAGAGAGGATGGAGGTGTACTATTGTTTGGAAGGGAAATCCCCCTCCATAAGATCTTCAGGTGCCAAGTCCTTTTCTGGGGTTACTTCCCTTCTTTTGTTTTTTAATACCACTAGGACCAGCTTGAGAGTCACTGGACCCCTGTCGCTCAAAAAAGTGTTTCTTTAAAACTTCCTTAAAATGGGACACAACATTGTCATTGTACATGTTACCAACACGGCCTGCAACAGCTTTGTCAGGGTGAAGTTCATCCATAAATGTTTGCACCTTTGTCCACATTGCACAAATCTCCTTAATCTTTGAAGAAGGCACCTTCCTCCATCTCTCTTCCTCCTCCTCCTCTGAAGCAGTTTCCTGAGCTGTGGTCTGTTGCTGTTGCAGATGAAGCTCTTGCAGCTCTATAGTGGTTAGCTCTTCATGTTAGTCCTCCACCAACTCTTCTGCATCCTCAAAACTCGCATCAAACCCCATGGAATTCCCCAGTGCCACAATACTTTTCACAACTGGCATAGGCTCTTCAGGGTCAGCCCCAAACCCTTCAACTTGGCCACAGTTTTCTCCAAGCAGAGTTCAAAGTCCTGGAAGTCACTCCCTCCCAAGCCTTACTTACAAGGTTTATGCAATGGAGGATAGTGAGTTGATTTTTCCAGAACTCTCTTAGGGTCAATTCAGTGTCTGAGGTCACTTCAAAGCACTTTTGAAACACTGCTTTGGTGTACAGTTTTTTGAAGTTTGAAATAACCTGCTGGTCCATGGACTGGAAGAAAGGAGTGGTATTAGGGGGCAAAAACTTCATTTTGATATAATGAAACTCCTGCACCATTTGCTCTTCCAAGTCTGGATGATGAGTAGGAGCATTGTCCATTACCAGGAGGCACTTGAGTTTCAATTTATTTTCCAGGAGGTATTTCTTCACACTGGGGCCAAACACTTAATTGAACCATTCAAGGAAAATGTCCCTCGTGACCCATGTCTTACTGTTTGCCTTCCACATCACACACAATTTACTCTTGGCAACACTGTTTTTCTTGAACAATCTGAGGATTTTCAGAGTGATATACCAGTGAAATCCCCACTAGCATTACTACAGAACATGAGAGTTAGCCTGTCTTTCATAGCCTTGTGTCCTGGGAGTGCCTTGTCCTCCTGAGTAATGTAGGTCCTCTTTGGCATTTTCTTCCAAAACAGGCCTGTTTCATCACAATTGAACACTTGTTGGGGTTTGAATTGTTCAACCTCTATGTACCCCCTCAATTCCTGAACATACTTTTCAGCCGCATTTTTGTCAGAACTGGCAGCCTCACCATGCTTTATCACACTGTGTATACCACTACACTTCTTAAATCTCTCAAACCAGCCTTTGCTGGCCTTAAATTCACCAATATCAGCACTAGTTCAGGTATTTTCTTTATGGGATCGTCATGCAACTGCCATGCCTTTTCACAAATTATTGACTGCATAACACTATCTCCAGATAATTGTTTCAAGTTGATCAACACTAACAACAAAGTCTTCACATCTTTCAGTTTTGTAAGCATATTTGCACCTTTCACAACAACAGCTTCCTTGATTTCCTTTCTCTTGGCCACGATAAAAGCGATGGTTGTATGGGGTTTGTTATACAACCTGGCCAGCTCAGCGACACACACTCCACTTTCATATTTTGCAATTATGTCTTGAATTCTATAGTGTTTCTCACCTTCTTTACCAAAGGGCTGGCACTAGAAGCTTTCTTTGGACCCATGGTGGCTTATTTAACAGTTACAAGCACTAAAAAGAATGGAATAGTACGAAATGTATGAATACATGGGATCATCCTCAGTGTCTGATAAACAATGGCACACTGCCTGTAAATGGTGTCAGGCCACTCGGGCCGCATGGACATGTTCGGGACGAATGACTATTACCGAGTTCAATGATGATTACCGAGCCAATATTTTGACGACAAACGTGACTATTTCTGAAAATTATGAAATCCAATGACTACAAAATCCGAGGGTCCACTGTAAATAAAATGATCAGAAATTAGTAATTTGGCCAATTTCACACAAAATTAAAAAAAGGCTAATTTTAAAATAGCATCCAGAATAAACTGCAGACATTCCTGACACTAAAATAATATTTTCTCTGTTCATTAGTCACATCTCCAGGTCCCTCTTATATTACATTGCTTTCCATTTTGAATTTTTATTCACACAAAAAGAGAAGATTTACCGTTATGCACACTACTACATTATTGTAATAATTGTATAAATATTATCAGCACATTCGTGAACACATATTAGACCCACAAGTTGATGTGATTTATTTACTTTTGAATATTGGCAAATATTGAACATTTCCTCTACTTTGAGCTCAATTTCAAGCTACTTTCAGTCCCAAAACCAATCAAAATTATCTCAATTTCTGTAATATATCTTCCAGAATAAAACCATAAGAACCATATGGAACTACATCGCAAAGACACAGTTTTAAACCAAACACAGTTGTAGTTTTTTCTCTCAATGTGCACTACATGCTGCAGGATTTTTTTATATGGTGCACACTTAACGAATAGACCCATTCTCTCATATCTAGGTCCAAATTTACCATTCACAACTTATCTGAATGAGCTGAGCTCATGGCATCATATTACAGAACCGACACTGGCTTCAAAGCTATAACAGGACTAAACAATACAACTGGGAGAAAACTAGACAGTTTTAACCCTATATCACTCTCTTATTTACCCCTATCTCACCTATGGAATTTTGCATGGGGCTCAACAACAATTAACCATCTCAGACCACTAATTACCCAACAAAAGGCTGCAGTCAGAATGATAACAAATTCTCACTACAGGCAACACACTCCACCAATATTCAAAACACTAAACCTACTCACCATACAAAAAATCCATACTTATTACTGCACCTATTACATACATAGAACACTTAACTCTGATATTAACCCTCCCCTCACACATCTCCTTGCCAACCTCAACAGAACACATGACCATAACACAAGGCACAGATCACTCTTTGATGTTCCTCGTGTCCATCTCATGCTATGCAAAAACTCAATGCACATAAAAGGCCCTAAAATCTGGAATTCATTACCTGTAAATATAAAAGAAACACTACCTGTTTATAAATTCAAGTCTCTTCTCAAAGATCATTTACTCACCCAAAACCAAATAAATACTGAATAACTGAACCTTATAAATTGTATATCTTAAATGTTTCTCACAATTATATGACATAAATATTAAACCTAAGACCCAATCTAACTTTGTTATTTTTTAAATACACTACCTAACAGAATACTCCATTCTACTGAATGTACAGCAATGCATGCAACCATATGACCTGTCTTTGTAATACTCATTTGTGCTTAATTGTTATTTTTTTTTTTTTTTTTATTATCACACTGGCCGATTCCCACCAAGGCAGGGTGGCCCGAAAATGAAAAACTTTCACCATCATTCACTCCATCACTGTCTTGCCAGAAGGGTGCTTTACACTACAGTTTTTAAACTGCAATATTAACACCCCTCCTTCAGAGTGCAGGCACTGTACTTCCCATCTCCAGGACTCGAGTCCGGCCTGCCGGTTTCCCTGAACCTCTTCATAAATGTTACTTTGCTCACACTCCAACAGCACGTCAAGTATTAAAAACCATTTGTCTCCATTCACTCCTATCAAACACGCTCACGCATGCCTGCTGGAAGTCCAAGCCCTTCGCAAAAACAAAACCTCCTTTACCCCCTCTCCCAAACCCTTTTCCCTAGGCCGACCCCTACCCCCCCTTTCCCTTCCACTACAGACTGATACACTCTTGAAGTCATTCTGTTTTCGCTCCATTCTCTCAAACATGTCCGAACCACCTCAACAACCCTTCCTCAGCCCTCTGGACAACAGTTTTGGTAATCCCGCACCTCCTCCTAACTTCCAACATACGAATTCTCTGCATTATATTCACCCCCACACATTGCCCTCAGACATGACATCTCCACTGCCTCCAGCCTTCTCGCTGCAACATTCATCACCCATGCTTCACACCCATATAAGAGCGTTGG